TTGTAGTTTGTAAATCTCCTAAAATGTCCGGGATTCAACTTTTTTAAGCTGTTGTTAATTGTATGTCTTTTGCTTTACCTTTCTATTTAAAGTTTCTAGACACCCTCATTTCAATACTTTTTTTTAAAGATTTTAACAGATTTGTGTTTGTTGAACAACATTAGCACCTGTCAGCTTTAATTGTAGGGAAAACTGGATAATCGGGTATATGCCGAAGCATGCTAATAGGACTTTGAAATTGCCAGTAACCTGGGTTGAGCGCTTCCGGTCAACTGTATGCCAATTGTTACGGTTGCCGTATATTGGTGGGATTTTTGCGTCCCGTTCTCTCTCTCTCTTTTTCTCTCTCTCTTTTTCTCCCCATCTCTACCTGTCGTATCCTCTAGGTCCGCCTTTGCGGAAGCCGATTGGTCAGGAGACCAGTCACTTATCATTGCGCTTTTCCTTTGATCCCGTTTTTGTGTGTTTTTGCCGACATGATTTTGTTATTCATTAATTTTAATTAACTTTCGTTTGGATAAAATTATTTAGTATTATTTCTGCCCATTTTGAACTACTTTGTGATTTTTGTACATCTTATTTTCTATTGTTTGTTTGTTACTTTTGGTACAACTCTTACCTGGCAAACAAAAAAGAGATTATTGAGAGTTGACTTTGTCCTCAGAGTAAGGTGGACAGGGAAGATGTCGTACGACTTCCATCTTACATACACAAAGTCAATCCATTGTTTAAAACACCAGGTAAGAAGTGAATGCCACTTGTGTATGTTTTGATTTAGTTCAGAATAGGTAAGATTACGGCGCTCGGCGCTGAAGATTTTTCTTTTCTTTTTCATTTCATGTTTCTTGCGAGGTAAGGGGTTTGCTTATGAGTTAGAATTGTTTTGTTATATTTATTTCTTTGATTTGGCTTCACCAGCGTCCACTTACTCTTGAGTTAACCTAATTTTGTTTGATACTTTGTTTAATTTGTTACTTTATTATTATTGTAAATATTTTTCTTATTGTATACATATTTGGGCATTATTCTGATTTCACTTTTTGTACATTAAATCACTTTTATTGGCAGTTTTGTTGTTTGTGTCTTTTACTTTCACCCATCATCTTGTAAAAGTACCACACCTTTTAAATGTTATTACTTTTACCCTAGACTAACATCAAAGAGGTGTAACACCAATGCAAAAATTGGCGCATTTAAGGTCAGTTTTCTTTAAAAATCAGTGATCTCCACTGGCTGAGTGATATCTGAAAATAAAGTCGGTCTCAGATTGTACAAGAAACACTGCATTAAATTACACTTTTCCCCGCCATGTCTTTGTAATATGAGCATTTATTTTACCCCAATATATTTAATGGATCTTCTGCACTATCCTGCCGATTTTGATGGGTGTGTGCGAGTAAACAGCTTTTTGTATCGTTTTACGCTTAAGCAACTAAATAAATGTCTAAGTTTATTTAACTGAATGTATTATAATTACATTACAACACTGATGCTGTAAAAGAAACCGTATAAATTGGGGAAAAAAAATCATAAAAACAATTCATCGAAAGTTTATCAGTTTGGGAAAGACACTAGCTCGGCATATACCCTATTTTGAGCTTTTGTCAACTAATTTCATCTTTTGGGTTTAAAATAATTTTTGGGATGACATCAAAATCGGTGAAGTAGCAATCAACTGCTAGTGGAGTGATGATGCGTCGGTTTCTCATTATTCTCATTATCCCTAAAAATAGTTAAAACACACAGAAACCATGGTGACGAGAATGAATGTGCAAGAGACCTGATTGCGAGAGGCACAGTGATGTTCTAAGCATTGCGTTTCTTAGGATAAATGAAAAGCAGTGAAAATATTGCGAGTGCAAATCTCTCTCTCTAAGTGACTACTTTACATGGACATCAGTAATCAAATGATTTGCCTTAATCTAATTAAGACATTAATAGGATTAAGGTGTTTAAGTTACATGAGTTGCTTTTTGAATGTTTCTTTCATGATCCCGTTTTACATGTTATAGCACATAATTAGATTAACATCATTGCGTCACCGCACAATCCGCATTTCCTCTGGAGTTTCATGTAATTTCGGGTGTTTCGTTATCAATTTGTCGACTTCAACTGCAGTTTGGCACTTTCATTCGGACATGCCCCACTGTGACAAATGAGATATTGGATGCAGCTATGAACTGCTGGAAGACTGTTGTTTTAAGTTCATACCGCATGCTGAATGGAAAAAAAAACTGCATTTCACGATGCAGGTGTCTGTGGTCTGTGGTCTGCACTGACTCGGTAGGTCCAAAGAGAGTCAAACAGCCCTGTGTGTGGACTATCCTGTCACAAAACGCATATGAAAGCCCTACATGACAGTAATAGTTCGATTAAGGTGTTGACATGTTTGTAATGCACTTCAATAATGCGACTAAAATCGGCATACTCCACACGTCTTAATTCGTTTTTTTTTTTTTAAGTTTGATTATGATCTTAATCTGATTAAATTAATAAAAAATCACTGTTTACATGGTAGACTCTTTTTAAGAGTATTGTCTTAATCCCATAAAATTTTTATTTTTGGTGTCCATGTAAACGCAGTCATTGAGTGATCTGCTGTCAATAGTTGAAGACGAGCAAAATATTTGAATGGTCTAGATTTATTTAGGTCTTTTTATGTAACAACTGAACATTCTGTATTTTTGACAATATTGCAAGTTCAGTAAAACCTGGCTGGAATTATTAGATAAATAAAACTTGATTTATTTATGTATATTATGAATATTTAATAATAATAAATACTTGTAATGCACCCATTGCTTTAATCAAAGTTTATAGACCTTTTTCCTTTTAGTATTAGATTTATAGGTGTGCATTTTAACTTCTTATGCATCAAATATGCACTCTAAACTTTTTCTTGATTGAGACATGTTGAATTCTTTTTTCATTATTTACTATTTAGTATGTTTCCAAATTGCATTGTTAGTAATTTTTCTTACCAATATTTTTATCTGTGCCAAAGTGAAATAAATAGATGAATCATTTTCTGTAAAGCTTCTTCTGGCCATGACACGTTCACACCTAAATGGTTATAATGTGTTTAAGGTGTTATATGCAGCGGCATTACTCCTCTTAAGCTTTATACTTAGGCCCCGTTTACACAAACACGCTTTAGTTTCAAAACGGCGTTTAAGAATGAAAAGGATCTGCGTCCACAATGGCATTTCACTCAGCGTTTCTGAACAACTCTCTGTCCACACTACATCACTGGAAACGCACATCACGTGACCACAAACGCACACACACACACTCTGGCTTGCACTGCAGCATATCTACCCAGATGAAAGCTGTGCACGTCGGACTGTTCAGCAAGGATTTTCCGTTGGATCTAATCTCACTATATTAGTTAAACGTGATATTTAATTCATCTTGTCTATATCTAATGACATATTCCCCGACTTTGGTATTTTAAATTTATTACTTGTTCACAGGTAATGTGTTTTGGCTGACCGCAAAGAGTTAATCTATTAATTAATGTAACTGCGTACACTGATTCTGCACATTTAACTGATTTCTTGCATTTATTTTCCTACAGTGGGCTCCGTTTCGTTTCTAAATATGCATACAGTGAAGATGACGGTCATATAAATAGCCCCGCCTCCATATTCAGACATTTCCATTTTGCCCCATCCATACTAAAATAGAGCAGCAGCGTTTTCAAAACACTTAAAACACTCTGGCGTAGTGTGGACGGATGGCATAACCGTAGCAAAACTTATGCGTTTTAAAACTAAAACGTATTATTGTACATGGGGCTTTAGAGGGAAAATGTGCTTAATGCATTATAAAGCTTAAGGCATTAAAATCGGTACTCTGTAAACCTAGGGTGAACACTGGACACTGATTATTAGGTTAATTCTAATTTTAAAATAAATTTTTAGCCACAAATATATTAGTGTATACAGAACTAATGAATACAGAAATAATTGAACTGAGTGTTGAGAGTGTTGTCTAGAGCAACTGGCATCTACAGATACAGTATGTTGTTTCATGTCATCTGCTGGATGGTATGAAAAGCACAAATATAAAAAAAAGTTATAAAGACTGTGGCAGTCTGAGAGATGAATTGAGAACTATGTTGCTGGAGACTATTTGGGGAAAAGTACAGAAAGCTAATCACTGTCCTGTTGTTTGGAAGTATCAGAAACTTATCCCATACTATAAAAAGTTTTAAAAAATCAGAAGCCGTTTTTAAGGTGTGTCTTGCTTTCACTTTCTTTATATTTGGATTGGATGAGTGGATTGATATGGTCAAGAAGCTGTTGATAATCATTCTGGCAGCTAGTAAATAAAAAATAGGATAGTAAAAGTATAGATTATATTAAGACATTTACGTATATTTTTAATGAATTCCTAAAAGAAAATTATTTCTTTAAGGCATCCTTTTATGGCGTAGCTTCCTATGTTTTACAGTATAGTTCCTGTTAAAGGGAAACAATGCACAGAATATGTAATATCTGTCCTCTATTTCTGTCTTCTATTTCTTCTTGTAAAAACAAAATTTAATTTGTTTAATAGTGAAGCATCTTGGTGATTCTTCTTGGTTTTTCAAGGTCAGACAACTAAGATTTTCCTAAGTTGGCATGGTTCACTGATGCATAAAAAATAATGCTGTTTGACTAAAGCTGATATTAAAGAAATACTTAATGTTTTATTTTAAACTAAATAAACCAAAAGTAAAAACAGTACATCAGGTTTTACAATTATTTTTCTTTATCATTTACTATTTATTAGAGCTTTAAAAGCTTGTGTTTAAATAAATTTTGATTCTCACAGATAAAGTTCAGCTTCATGACTGAGCTGGAAACTGGAACCGAGAATGAAACAAGCATGACATTACTCAAAGGGGACAGTCACATTCAAATTGATCTTGTTCCTGTTTTTTTTTTTTTTTTTTTTTTTCCATAAACCAGCAGAGCTTGAGTTTCACACTTCTTTTTTTCTCTTTCTGCATGCAGGCCCCAAATAGACAGGTGATGCGTTACTGGCTGCAGCAGTTACAGCAGAAACGATGGGAGTTCTGCAACATGCCTGGCCCCAGAGACAGCTGGTGTTCCCCCACTCCATTGTATCCTCATACAGGGCTGGTGGCCAGAGATGCAGGTGAATATATAAGAAGAAAATGAGCATGTCATGACAAAAGCAAGAACAGAAGAAATCAATTCTTGGTCCACTAGTTTTCTATTCATTTGCAGAGTTTTGTCAACCTTTTTTTTTTTGTTACCATTGCACATGATTCTTCTCACACTATGGCTATTTTACATATTTTCCCCTGATGTGAAAATATACAAGTAGAATTTAAATCTCTGTCAGCAAGATTTCCATCATGTACTGGAAAGTGGCGGGGGCTCCTTGCAACCTGAAGGGAAATGACAAAAAAAAAAAATAGGTGTGCTAAAAGCAGCACTAACAATGTGACCTGCCAGACCCAGTGCCCCTTGGTAAGATCTAGCAATGAGATATACTGTCCACTGCCAAGGCAGATGTGGAACTCGTCCACTCAGGGCAATGTGTAGCCAATAAATGCATAGATCTCATTCAGGCCAAGGTTATAATAGTTATAGATTTTTCATTAGTTTTAGGGCCCTATCATACACCCGACGCAATGTGGCGCAAGGCATCTTTTGCTAGTTTCAGCTTGGCGCAAGAGTGGTTTTGAGGAGTTGCGCTACGCTGTTTAAATAGCAAATGCAATAGTGCTCATATGTGCACCCATAGGCGTTCTGGTCTAAAAAGGAAGGCGTTCTGAGGCGCACTGCTGGCGCGTTGCTATTTTGAGAAAGTAAAATAGATTTTTCATTAGAGCAAAACAAACCCGGTCTAAACTCCAGCGCAGAGTTGCACCTCGCTTACGCAGTGCTTAATACGCACAAGAGAGCAATAGGCAAATATTTTTACATATGAAAAAATAAGAATATATATATACAAATATAAAGGAGTAAAATATTACAAAACATTTTATTTTCTAGCCTACATAAATATGAAAAATCACTGCTTTTATGGGCTATATTTTGACAGTCCATGCGCAGAGCGCAAAACGCAGGGCGCAAATGCTTTCAGGGCATGTCAGGATGCGTTTTTGCTAATTTAAGGACGGGAAATCTGCCTTGCGCTTCGGCGCATGGTCTAAAAGGGTTGAGTTTATTTTCTTAATGAGTTATAGGTATGTTTTAAGAATAAACCAATTAGAGTCTCATCTCCCATTCCCTTTAAGAGTCAGCTGCCAAGAGCGCATTCGCTGTTTACAGGGCGCAAAGTAAGTCTAAGTGGAAAAAATGAGCATTTCACAAGCAAACAGTTAACAGTTTTTTAACAGAAAACTGTTAAACAGAGCATCTACTACGTGAGAATGAGAGATAATGGATCACTTTCACTTTCGCTCTTGGATAGGGAAACCTTTACGCACAGACATCAATTAGTCTATAAATAAATACTTTTGTTTGTTAGGCGCAAATATTCTTTTTAAAACTATTTCTAAATTCAGTACTAATTTCCAGCAAACGAATAAATGAATAATAATAGCAAAATGTGCTCAAAAACCTGAGTTATATCCTAAAACACATGCTTTGCCCCATATGGTCTAAAACCTGACAGGTGGGCAAATCTAAGCTTGTTTTTAATAAAACAAATATAAATATGGATATAATAAATAATACTGCTAATAATAATAACATTATACAAAAGCAAATTGTTATGAATGAACTGAAAAAGCCTCCCGAGATGAAGAAGACATAAAAGCAGTGGTTTTTCATATTTATGTAGGCTAGAAGATAATATGCTTTGTAGTATTTTAATCCTTTATATTTATATTCTATATCTATTCTTATTATATCCTATATATATATATCCTTAATATTTAAATTTTTTCATATGTAAAGATATTTGCCTATTGCTCTCTCGTGCGTATTAAGCAGTGCGTAAGCGATTTGTCCACCTGTCAGGTTTTAGACCATATGGGGCACAGCATGTGTTTTAGGATATAACTCAGGTTTTTGAGAACACTTTGTTATTATTGTTCATTTATTAATTTGCAGGATATTAGAACTGAATTTAGAAATAAATTTGAGACGAATATTTGCGCTTAACAAACACAATTCATTATTAATAGACTAATTGATGTCTGTGCGTAACGGTTTCCCTATCCACGAGAGCGAAAGTGAAAGTAGATCGATTATCTCTTGTTCTTGAGGGGTAGATGCTCTGTTTAACAGTTTTCTGTTAAAAAAAACTGTTAACTGTTTGCTAGTGAAATGCTCAGTTTTTCCACTTAGACTTTTTTTTTCCACAAAGGCTTTTTCACACGATTCAGTTGTTCCGAAACAGAGATTACAATTGTTACATTGTTGCTCTTTGCTCTTGGAGCGGTTCGCTTTCACACTGCAAAGTTTCTAATCGGACCAAAAGAGCTAAAACAAGTCACGTGCGAGTAAACTGTCCTTACATTGGTCAGAGTGTCAGGGTTTATTTTGCAGCGTCCTGCTAAGCTGTCCGGAGAGGTAGTGGTTTGGTGGTGATTGACAGGGTGCGCGCGCGCGACGTGTCTGAGGAGAGACGCGGTGGGGAGGGGTGAGAAGGGTGAGCAACGATGCCTATTTGAGGACTGGGAGGGAGACGCAAGATTAATGGGAGATCATCACTCGTTTGCAGGCATCCGGAGACTCGCGAAACTTCCCGCCCTACTCATAATTCTCTCTTCATATAGCCGTAAGCCTATTACATATCCATAAAACACTGTGATATAACCGCGCTTGGATCGGATTGCTTTCTCACTGCAATCGAACCGCTCCAGGGTTCGTTTCAATCGAGCCGAGACCACCTCATTCAAGCGATCTCGGAGCGATTACTTTGGCGCGGAACAGATCGCGATTGCCCTGTTCACATATGCCAAACGAACCGCGCTAACTGGGCAAACGAGACACGTTCCGAAACAAAAGTGTAGGTGTGAAAGCACCCTTACTTTACGTCATGTAAATAGCAACCAAATGGCGTGAGGCAGCTGGATCTTAAAGGGAATGGGAGATGAGACTCTGATTGTTTTTTTTCTCAAAACACACCTATAACTCATTAAGAAAATAAACTCAACCCTTTTAGATCATGCGCCACAGCGCAAAGCGGATTTTCCTATCCTTAAATTAGCAAAAATGCGTTCTGACACGCCCTGAAAGCGTTTTCGCCCTGCGTTTTGCACTCTGCGCATGGACCGTCAAAATAGAGCCCTTAGTTTTTATTTTGTTTTGACGTTTTGTTTTCAAATTCAGTTAGTTTTAATTAGTTTTTAGAGGTAGATTTACTAGTTTTTATATATTTTTTGTTTATATTAGTTATTGTTATTTTTAGTTTTTTGTTTGTTGTTTTCTTGTAAATTATGATATTTGTTAGGCACAAGATTCAAAATCATCATAATAAATATTGTATAATAAAAGTTCAACCAAAGATAGACTACTTTTTATGACACAAGAACAATCTACCCATCTTCAAAGGCAAATACAAAAGCCCACAAGATAGCAGCCTTAAGTAAAATATGTGCGCAAGGCTACTTATGAAGTTAAATACACAGTAGTGATGGGAAGTTCAGATCTTTAACGCAAACCAGATCTTTTATGACATTCTTTCCAGGTTTGGACTCAACAAATGAAAAATATGTAGTCAGGAATCATAATTTTAGTCAGTTAAAACATCACCATGATCTGAAATTTTTTTACGATTACGTTCTGCAAACCAACCATAGCATGATTCACTTATTTAAATACTTATTATTATTTTTTCCAGTTGTTAGTAAGTTGCTTGTGGATAAGTGCTTAACAATACTGGAGACGCAAATCATTGCAAACGATTCAGTTTGATTTGGTAAATTAGTTCAACTGCTTCACTTAGAAGATCTTGTTAAAAAGAATGATTCATTTGCGCTCGCAATCACTAATACAGAAATTATTAGGAACCCATGGTTGGGCACAAATGTGTTAAATTAATACATTTAAGAGTGTGCTCAGGTTGTATTTAATGTTGTCCTGTGCTGCTGTCATGTCCAGCTATTTTTTATCGTTGTGTGGACCGTCTTGATCTGGCCAATGGCATCAGGATTACAGACTCTGAGCTGCTGTACAGTCAAACACCTGGCAGCGCGAAGTAAATAGATTTACTTCGTAAGGGCTTACAGTATGTATTAAATACAATTACAAAGATGAAAACAAAGGACATTTTTGATATAGATTTAGTTAGTTAGTTTTTTATATACAAAATACAGGTGCTGTTCTATTTTTTATTTTTATTTTAGCTAACGAAAAATTTTTTTCAATTCTAGTTTTTTGTCATTTGTTTTCATTAATTATAATAACTTTGATTCAAACATGAAAGTCAGCACAAAACGCTTTTGACCTTTGGCACCATCATTATGGGGCTTGACCAGGGGTTACACAATGCTTCAATCCTCAGCTCATTTCATAATTTATATATATATATATATATATATATATATATATAATTAATATTATTTTTTTAAATGTTTCCCTGACTGCTGCTAAACAAAGTCTTAAGGTAGTAGTGTGGAACTCATGCATGGATGTTGGAGATCTGACTGTGTTGTGTCCTGAACACATCCTTAAATGACCAAATGAGCCGCTGCCAGAATCCAACACTGCTTGGGTTGTTTTCCCTTCTAAGCAGATCAAACTGTCTGGAGCTTGTACTAGGTCTTTTGGTGCACAATAGAGACGGCCAGCCAGCTTGAAATGCAGGGTAGATGGGCTCTGTCTGCATTGGTTTATCAATAGGCTGCACTCTCTTCAGCTTTTATGGCCTATGATGCCTCCTCCCAGTTCCATTGCATCAAGGGGGATGATCAGGTCCCTAGAAACATTAAGGAAAAGCTTGGAGGAGACGGTCAACCACCACCTTCTCAGCAACCCGAAATTCATTAGCTGAGAGAACTTTGTGAACTTAACCCAGACAGGAATGGTTTCCTCATACTGCCACCGTGGAAACTGTTGAGCCATGTGTTACGCTAGCATTTCAAATTTGACCACATCACAATCTTCGTTCTGAGGTGCTTGTAGAGAGTAAAAACCAGGCTAGTTAAGGGACCAGAATTCAGAGCCTCTATTGCATTCCACATCTGCCAGAGCATCCACTCCCACCAGAGCTACAGTTGCCAGAGCCTTTAATGCTGCCATCAGAGCTTCAAAAGTGGTCATCGCCATTGCTAGAGCTACTGCTGCAAGAGCCTTTGAGGCTGCCACCTGAGCTTTAAGAGTGGCCACCGCCAGAGTTACTGTTACCAGAGTCTTTAATGGTGCTGTCACTGAAAACAAGTAATAGACTCGAAAGACCACAGAGTTGTTCGATATACACAAGATGAATTATGTGGCACATTTAACAAATATAGAGAGATGAGGTCCAGTGGCTGATCTGAGATGGACTGGCCGACCTGCACAGAGCTACTGCTGACTGCTTGGTGCTCAGACATTCTGAATACGCTGAAGCAACTTTTAGTGTATGACAGTGCATATACAGTATGTCATGCAATGTAGGATTCAATGGACTAAGACCTTTTTAGAAATGTTAGATGAAAATGCCAATGTTAATCGTTGATCCTTTTCATTCTAAAATGCCATTTTAAAGCTAAAATCATTATAAATGGTGCCTGTGTTACCTTCAGTGGTGGCCACCTTCCTACACTTTCTATATTTTCCTTGGTGGGGTTGGACACGGTTGAGTCATCTACTAAGTGAATCCTTAGAACAGTGGTTACCAAACTTGTTCCTGGAGGGCCGGTGTCCTGCAGATTTTAGCTCCAACCCTAATCAAACACACCTGAACCAGCTAATCAATGTCTTACTTGGTATACTTGAAACATCCAGGCAGGTGTGTTGAGGCAAGTTGGAGCTAAACCCTGAAGGGACACCGGCCCTCCAGGACCGAGATTGGTGACCCCTGCCTTAGAACTTCTTGTTGAAAGATACTGGAAATGATCTTGCTTGTCATTAAATGGATTAAATGCGGAAACTGTGACTTTCGTCACACTCAATGATCTTTCAATGGGAAGCTATTGATTTTGAACTTGTATTTCATTGTGAATGAACTTTGGGTTCACTGTTTAAATTTATTTAACATGTTAAAATTTGGTAAACTTTGTGTTTATGTCTTTATGTTAGGAGTGTTAATGGTTAGGAATAATGATAAATGAAGGAAGTTTAATGCAACAACACAAAAAAATATAATTGCATTAATTGAATTCTGAACTAATTAATTAAACTAAAACTGTTTCCACAGGGTGAAACAAACATCTTATATCTGAAAAGGATGAAAAAGCATAAGTTTAAGGGAAATAGAATGGAAACATTTCCTTGTCATTTAAAATTTTTTAAACGTTTTAATTTTTGTTTGTTTAAATACAGTAAATGATTGATCTTATCTAAACCATTGTTGTCTTAATTTAAGTTTGCCATAAAGACAAACCTAATCCTCTGAGTGTAATAGCCTGATTGTAAACTTGACTCAAATTTTAGACCACAAATGTGATAGCAATTTGACTAATTCATAGAAACAAGAATGTGCTTTTGATTTATGAATGACACTGAGATTGTGACTTGTTTTAGAAGCAATGCCTTATGAGAAGCCTAGTGAGAGCATGGAAAGTGTTCGGAATGACTTTGCTTTGGAGTTGGACAATGATGGGCTAATCGGGCATCAGACAGCACATGTCCCTGTTGCGCAACCCACTGCAGCTCTCAGCTCCCTGCGTCAATGGGGCTCTGAGATAAGGTAGGCACCTGCAATTAACTCTAGCTGAATGTATATTATCATAACTGAAGCATCTAACACACTTACTGACACTCTTTCGGCTTATTCACTCATTTATCTACAATAGGCACAGTAAAACGAACCACCAATATTTCAAACAATTTAATACGGGTCACCTTAATCAGGTATGCGTCTCCACTGCCAAATGGTGTTCTTTTGGTAGGTGTGATGTATTACAAAGTTGCAGTCAACGTCATTCTTAGCTTGAAGTTCAAATAACGTAAAAGAAGCACTTCTTACTAAATAAATGCTTTATATACATACATACTTATGTATACATGTTAATTTCTAACATTTCTATAAACAGGACCGGATTATAGCTGCAGATCAATGATAATGCGGAATAGCCCACTGTAACATCTGCAATTTCTATAAAATAAAAAATAAAAATAAAACGTACATGAACACATACAGAGCCTTACAGTGAATTACAGTTACAAATTACAAAAATAAAAATACATTTAGGCCTTATTTGGGTTCTGAAACGATACCAAAAAAAAATAGTCAGTACAAACCTATTATTTATATTCTTCACCTGCACATTTAACATTAACACCTAAAAAAGTAATTTTATAATTCAGAGTTCATAGTAGTCCAAAAGGCGATGATAATAATTAAACATTACAGTTTGTTCATGTTTTAGGTTGCTAAAAGAATCATTTGCTGCTTTGTTTTTTCAGGCTATTCCTTTGTTTTTTCACGCTTTACTCAGGGCCGAATTAACCAATGGGCACAGGCCCAGGGGTCCATGTGTGTCTGCAAATAGCGCTCCTTGTTGAAATAAGGTAGTTAAGCGATTCACACCCATCACCATTTGATTGACAAAGACAACACAACTAAAGAGAACAACAGACAGCAGCGTGAGTGGCGTAGCTTGTAAAGCATATGGCAGTATATTTTGATTCAATGTTTCTTATTTTTTACCCCACTGCATATGAGATTTTGCCTACTCTTCATCACTAGGACAAGTCGTCACCTTAGAATTATAAGGTTCTGTCTGCGTTCTGAATGATTTTAAGATATTGAGCTTCAAAGTTTTGGGATTCCAGCAAACAATATGTGTGTAACAGTTCTCTTTCATACATTAACACGACAGAGACCCTAAATTTATGCTAAATGTAAAATATCGAAATTCTCACATTTACAATGTACAATTCTCTTACAATTGGGGTAAAACAAACAGGGCAAATGCAGATAAAACGTTCTGATTCTAAAAAGTAATTTTACTCTTGGAATTATAAGTTTCTATCTGGCAGATCATTAATTGAAGCATTACTTTTCAACAAATACAATCAAAAATATACATTTATGTTGTAACATTATGTTGATGCTTGAGAAAGTTAAACTTTTGCTTTCTATAACAATTAATGTTTTAGGATGAATATTTGTTCTTGTTCAAATTTAGTACACAAGGTTGTGCTAAATATTTTATCCTGTGCAGATGTTATTTTATGGAATATGGTCATATTCATTGAATTTAATGCTTTATATTAATTATTGATTTATGTTTATTGAATTATATGTGAACTTTTTAATTATATTTATTGAATTATATGCCCGATTATTTAAATTAAGTATTTGCTATTCAAGGCCTAATATCTAATTTAAAGACATCAAAAGAAAATAGACAATGAGCAAATGGCTTTAATAAACACTGAAAATTGTTTCACTGATCATGTATATACACATAAATTAAAATATATTTTACGTGTAATATATACATTTTTTTAAAGGGGTGGTCCACTATGATATCATATTTTAAACTTTAGTTGATGTGTAATGTAGCTGTGTGAACATAAACAACATCTCTGAATGTAAAACGCTCAAAGTTCAATGGGAGACCTTATTTTTACAGAGTTAGCTTAGCAAAGCCTACAATAAACGAATTTTGGGGACTACAAAAAATACTTCAGCCCCTTGTGAGATCACAAAGGTTCGGTTATTCGGTTGTCATTTTGACAAAAATGTCAGAAAGGACCTTATAATTCTAAGGTGATGAAGTAGGAATCATTAATAAGTGTGTGCTTTATGGAGGACTGGATTGGAGAGGTGTTCTATACAAGTCATATGAATTATAAGTTTGTAGAAGTTATACATTAAAAATACCCTTAAATATAAATATATAGTACTGCTTCAGTGAACTTGAACAAGTATATTAAAATCCATTTATTTTCACAAGTTGTATTTGTATTTTGTTCTTCAAATTATGCTTTAAAAACTAATTAAATCTTTGTAGACCAGAAATATATGTACTGTATATCATTTATTTAAAAAATGTGGGCAATATATTATAGGTTAATCTTTTAATAAATATGTTATATTTATCTTCTTTTTTAATTTAACTATAGGAGTGCGGCTAGGTAGGGGGCCCACAGGACATTGTGCCCAGGGGCCTCTAAATTCTTAATCCGGGCCTGCTCATGTTTGTTTGTTTCTGAAAGGATGTCAGAAGCACTTCAATAACTATGTGCACATAATTATCACAAGCTCAAATATAGACACGTGGTGAGCACACGCAAATAGAGCTCTCTAGAGAAAGTGAAATTACTTGCTGTGTTAGATAAGCGACAACAGGACACACAGAACAGCTCACAGAACCACCACTCCTACCTCCACCTGCTCCTGGATGTCTACATGCCCTCCAGGAGCCTCTGGTCAGTCAGTGAGCACCGATTTATGGTAATACAGACAGGCTTTAAGTCATTTTCAAAAGATTTTTCATTCAATGCATGGTTTCCGCTCCATTTATTCTTCCATGGCGGGGCGCCGCACCAAAATACCCCCCTACATTACTTCTCATTCAAAACATTCAGTTGTTGTTGTTTTTTAATAGTGAGATGTAATCTCACCAAAACGTGTTAAAAGGATTTATAACAGCACAAAGTTTTCTGTAATCATAGTAGTGCTGTGCGTCATTTGTTTAACCCAGGCGTGTCCAAACTACGGCCCGCGGGCCATCTGCGCCCCGCAATCAGTTTTGTGGCGGCCCGCGAGGCTTTTTATAAATATTAATAGAATCTGGCCCGCTATACAAAAATGAACGTAATTCAATAAATAACCACCGGGTGTCGCTATTACATGCATTCAATTAAGCAGCAGTTCTTGTTATGATCTATCTATCTATCTATCTATCTATCTATCTATCTATCTATCTATCTATCTATCTATCTATCTATACACAGTTGAAGTCTGAATTATTAGCCCCTCTTTGATTTATTTCTTCTTTTTTAAATATTTCCCAAATGATGTTTAACAGAGCAAGGACATTTTTACCGTATGTCTGATAATATTTTTTCTTTTGGAGAAAGACTTTTGTTTTATTTCGGCTTGAATAAAAAGCGGTTTAAATTTTTTTATGAACCATTTTAAGGTCAAAATTATTAGCCCTTTTAGTCTTCAGAACAAACCATTGTTATAAAATAACTTGCCTAAATACCTTAACTTAACTAGTTAACTTGATTAACCTAGTTAAGCCTTTAAATGTCACTTTAAGCTGTATTGAAGTGTCTTAAAAATATCTAGTCAAATATTATTTACTGTCATCATGGCAAAGATAAAATAAATCAGTTATTAGAAATAAGTTACTAAAACTAATATGTTTCGAAATGTGTGGAAAAAAATCTTCTCTCCGTTAAACAGAAATTGGGGAAAAAATAAACGGGGGCTAATAATTTAGGGGGGCTAACAATTCTGACTTCAACTGTATTTATATATATATATATATATATATATATATATATATATATATATATATATATATATATATATATATATATACACGTGTCTGTGTGATGTATGTAAAATTTGGCCTGCGACAACGTTTGTTTTTTTGCATCTGGCCCTCGGCCCAAAAAGTTTGGACACCCCTGGTTTAACCCTTTAAGGTGACATGCTAACTGACTGACAGGTGCATGATGTGTGAGGCTAGCAAGCACGGCATAGCTTTCAGTTAAGATGAACACAGTTACCATAATTATACTTTATAGATAATAGATAATGCTTTATAATACTTTAGATGACTTTATCTTGCTAGAGTTTACAGCCATTTCACTTCACTTCAGGAAGCATTAATGCCTCTTAGTAGGTCTATTGGAGACGGTAATAATATTTCTAGCAAATCTAATACATGTTGGAGACATACTTGTTATTAAACGCACTTAATCGCACTTCAGCAGCGTTTGAGAGTGCGCAAGAAAATCTGTACTTGAGATCTTGTACTTTAGTGCGTAAAATGAAGTTTTGTGCACAATCAGAGAAAATCGGCGCACAAGCAAAGAGACTCACATTACATTAAATGCGATCTCGACTTGTAATACTGTGCTCACAACATTTGTCATCAAAATACTGCCACAGGTAGTTGATGGATCTGTGTAATAGGCCCAACAGAGTCTGCCGCAACAGCTGGAAAAAATCCTAGAGGAAACACTGCAATGTTCCTCCCTGGTGGAAAGATCTTCCTAACAGACAGCTGATTCACTAATGTAATTAAAACAACAACTAAAAACCCATCTATTCTGCAATTCAAACCCCTTCCTTATTCAGCTCTCAATTCTCTGGCCACTAAGAGTTTCTTTGTATTATTACCACTTCTTGTTTGCATTGCCGCCTCTTGTTGAATCACTGAATAACTCTTCGTTTATAAGTCACTTTGGACAAAAGCATCTGCTAAATGACAAAATGCAAATGGAAAAAAGCTAATTCACTTCGCCTTTTATAAGAAATTGATTATTCATGTAGTTACTTGGGATATTAAAATACTTGTTATTTTTAATCTTACAGGTTTTTTTATTCATTTATCACACAATTGGCATACACCATTGACAACCATTTAATTATATTTTGATAAAACCTGATATATTTTCAAAACCATGTGACAAACCTGAAAGAACACAATTAGTAGCTTCTACGCATGCATTGAAAAAGAAACAGATTTGTATTAAATAAATTAACACTTATTTTAC